ACTCTTCATTAGGGACTGTAGTGACAGGACAAGGGGTAACGGGTTAAAACTTAAATGGGAGAAGTTTAGATTGGATGTAAGGAAGAAGTTCTTTACTGTGAGGGTGGTGAAGCACTGGAATGGGTTGCCCAGGGAGGTTGTGAATGCTCCATCCCTGGCGGTGTTCAAGGCCAGGTTGGACAGAGCCTTGGGTGACATGGTTTAGTGTGAGGTGTCCTGCCCATGGCAGGGGGGTTGGAACTTGATGATCTTAAGGTCCTTTCCAACCTTAACTATGCTATGATTCTATGATTTGCAAGTTTGCCTCTCTCTCAAAATAATGTTTGTGACCTTCGTGAAAGGTCTGAGACTGCTGATGGCAAACAGCAGAAAGAAAAGCTTGAACACTCAGTTCCCTATATTATCTACAGTCATGTCTGTGAATGCAGTTATGGGATTTCATCTACTGCCATGTGTTCAGAGTGGCTCACATTCATTTTACTATATTCTTCTCTATACAGACTTCTCTACATAGGCACCATGCTGGCAACTGAACAAGTTCTGAGCTATATGTTTTCAAATCTTGATGACAGAGCATAAGACAAAATATACTAAGCATGATCTCAGTGTGTTCCTCAAAGAGATTTTGTATACCATCAATAATTTAACATGTCAACTGGCTACCCCTACCTGTTCTGAAAGCCAAGACATTTATTAAAATGTAGAAGAACACTGTGTGACTGCTTCCTATCCCAGATAGTAAGGAGGAGGTACACTCCCTCCCCAGCCTAGTGATCAAGAAGAGATAGCACAACTTTTTCAGCAGCATTCTTCCAAGACCAAGTCAATTTTCTAGCAGGAATCAAGGTTTACACAATGTCACTTCCAAAGCCTAGTTAGAAAAGGGTTAAGCTTCTCAAACAAGGCAATTAATACGGAAATGGTTACACAACCTTTATGGGCTCCTCTAAGTTGTTGTTAGGGCTAAACAGACGTATTTGTAACATACCCTAACAAAAACAAAACCCCTATGAATAAGCAACACATTTTTCAGAAGCAAATCTCTTCCCATTTTATCTCCTGGTACAAAAGTATTTTGGCTCATTTTTTTCCAATCACCTCCTTCAGTGCCCTCCATCTCCTTCCCCTCACCCACGCCCCCTTTTTTCCAAACAAAATGAGCCTGTCCCTGCGTCTATCCTCTGAAACAGGATTAAAGTTTCACACTGAGCCTGTTGCCTGGGGTTCACAGCAGCAGATGATCCATTTGAAAGCTGTTCATTCAGCTTCTGCTCTCGGCAAGACAAATTTGCTATGGAGTTTTCTTCACCCCACCGATTCCTTTAGCTTACAGGTAGAATAAAGCTGGAGGAAAACTTTCCTCAGCACTCTATATAGCTCCCAGCAAGTAAGTTTTCTAGAGTACTTAGTAAAAGCATCCTTTTCAAAACATGTCCTATGTTGACATCACATTTCTTGAATTCTTCAGATCTTTTTGTTTGAAAATAGGAAACAAGAACATAAATATACATATACACACACTCATCCACCACCACTGTTTAAAAGAGCAATAGTAAACTGGAATCTGTCTCTTACCAAGCATTTTAATAGGTCCACTGCTTTTTAAAAAACAATTTAAAGAGCCTTTCCTATTGCTTTTTGCTATGATCACTTGCTCTGCAGATTTTCAGCTTCAGTATTAAACTGGTACTGAAAGACTGGCATAGATTCTCTTCCAACATGAAGCACAACAGCCACGCAGCAATAAGCAAAAGCAGAACCAATTCAATGGTAAGCATCAGGTTCATTTAATTCATTTAATAGCAGTTTCTGCTGGAAGCTATGTCATGTCACACACGCCAGATCCAGAAGATTGTTTCAAAACAGCATCTCTTTTGCCTGCCTTTTAGTAACCCACACAGTAACCCACATCCAGCAGCTTTACTGTTTCAGTCTTCTTTTGATAGCAAATGGCTTTAAGTAGAGACACTTTACCACGGAGGCCAGCCGCATGCATGAGTTGTGCCTCTGCAGCAGGTAACACAAGTCTTGCCCCAGAACAATTACTTTGGGAGAAAAACCCCAAAGAAAATAAAAATTTGGAAAATAAAAGTGTAAGCAAGAGAAGGTCAAGAACATGTAACATGATTCACAACCATCTGTGTCCGAGTGGTTTGATTAAAACCAGTATGTGATGGGAAAGCCTCCAGGGACCTGCTGCCCCTCAGAAAGACCAGCACACTCCGGTTTCGCTCTCTAGTCCCATGAGCCAATGGACCAAGAACTGGGGAGCCTGCAGATGTTAGGTTCCTTAAAGGACAGATACTGATAAAACCAGAGGTCCTTCTACCAGCTGAGCTACAGGTCCATTTCTTTGCATTCAGGCATTAAATGGGGTCACTGCATCTCTGCAAGACAAAGAACTCCTCCTTGCTCAGAGCTGGGTGCTTGTCAATTTCTACCTTTGACCAACTAGAAAAAAGGTCAATTAGATATAAATAATCACCCTTGCAAATGCCTTCTCTAAAATACTGACCATAGATGCTCATTAGTCTTGTAAGAGCCACCTTAAGCTTGAATTTCTGAGGTTTCCTGCTTTGAAGACCATTATGACAACCCTGGAGTGTTTATTTTACCATGCAGTATCCTACTTTCTGAGGCCAGGCCGAGTTAAAGATCAGGCCACTGCTTCCTCAGGAATTACAAGGTTCGCTCTGCCCCATCCCCTCCAGTTGCCAGCCTTCACAAATGGTCCATTCATGCCCATGTTCCCCAGGTTTCCCTTATGCTGTCAGCTCCTTTCTGCCTGGGACTACTGCAGACAGGGAGCACAACGGGTGCCTGTCTCCTCCCCCCTGGGTGCCGCTGGTGGGAATGCACCCCTTCCCAAAGGCAGGGGTGGGGAGACAGGGTCTTCCTACAGGTGCCCTCCCACAGCTCACCTTTACGTTTGTATGGCAGCCTTGTTCTCAACCGAGATGCCATCTCAGGGCTTTCCAACTGCTGCAGCTCATCGTGTCCAGGCTGACATACCAACTGTAGCACATATGCACTGGCAAAGGCAACACTGGTTCCAACAGCCAGAAGCCCTCCAAAGGGCTCTTTCTCCACAATCTCTTGCCCTATAGCAGGGCTAAACCTCCAACAGCTCACTGCCAGCAATGCTTAAGCAACCCTTTACTCACAGATACTCCCACAAGGGTGGCTGCCACACTAGACCCCATCTCTGCTCTCACCTCTGCCATAGCTTGAGGAAGAAGGAAGAGAGCCATGCCTTTAGCACCTTGAGACAATATGCAAAGATGGGGTTTAAAGGCCCTCAAGCTCCACTTCTACTCTACTCTGAGTTTTCACCAAGACTGAGAAGCCTCATGCTGGTCCACAGCAGTCATCCTCACTTGAAGCATGTCAGGTCAGTTCAGAGGGTACTTCTTCCCAGCCACATTTGACAGAAGAGCTCAACTTCACCATTAACTCCGCTTCCTTGATTTGCTTATGTGGCACTCAATTTAAACCTGCAGTATTTTGCTTACATCAAGCAGTCTTAGAAAGGCAAACATATTGTGCTAAGGCACAAAAATGAAATCAGAAGCAAACAGCTCAGTGTTGTTTAACATGCATGAAGCTAAAGAAAAAGGTAGTGGACTTACTATGCAGGGAGATGCTAATTGAGCAGCTGCAGAGACTGAATTCCCCCAGAGACCAGACAACACAATTCCTGTTGCATCCAACTAACCTTCCTAAGCATGCCCTCTGCAATTAAAATACATACTAAAGCAACTATGGCTACTGATTAGACCACTGGCTTTCCACTGAGACCACCAGCAAGAAAGCAAATGGGTGTTCTGGGTTTTGGTACATTGCTATTGGTACAGCACAGATAAGAGAGAGGAAGGAGAGTAATTCAGACTGCAGCCTACCCTTGAAAGTTACACAAGAAGAGAGGTACACAATGAGCTTTTCCCACAGCAAGTGTTCCAGCTATGATTGCAAAAGCTCACTCTTCACAAGGTCTCCCAGGGTCACTAGTCACTTCAAAACCAGCAGGAAGGTGGCATGGCAAGGATCCAACCATATTGCCATAGCTCGCTGGCTGGCAGAGCTAGTTGCCTGGGGAAAGCCACTGTGCTGCAGCCATCACTCCCAGAACTATCTGAATTTACAGACTGGAAGGCCATGAGGGTCCATGGTTGGCTGTATGTTGGATCACTGGTGGGCACCAGTACGGGCCCAACTCCCTGTGTCATGTGGCTCATGCTGGTTTCAGGACTAGTGCTCAAGCACGTTTCTTTCATGCACATCCTTCTCTCCCCATTTCTTTCCAAACCTGAGTTTTGCCACCTGGCAAAAAAATGGCTCACTTCAGACTCAAGCCAAAGTGTGACCCAACATACATGGACAATATACCTCTGCTAACTGTAGTCTTCTAAAAGCCATGTGTCTTGTCTCAGCTAGACACCTTACTTCCATCTACATAGAGATAAGCACTTCCAGAGGGTCTTTCAGTCACATTAACACAGCAATCTAGTCAAGAAGAATCATCTCTGTGCAGGCACCCCTCTCCTTCCACTGACTAAGAAGGAAATTCTGTCAACTTAGACTTAGGGACTACACTTCAGATATCTAATGTCATGTGAGAAAAGTCCCTCTCCTCACTGAAGATTTGTTATCAAACTCCTTTTACCATGTAGACCTTCCTCACAATATTACCAACTAGCATTTTGTATTACTATTATGCAGATTGCTTTCCCAGGCACTAATATATTAAGACTGATTTCTAACACTCATTAAGCAACCAGAAATGAAATTATTGTAAGAACTCTTGAGATGAATTGCTTATGCTCTTCATGACATTCATTCAAGGTTCATAATCTTTGTTGCCTCTTGCAATAATTTGAGAGACAAAACACTGCTGGGAAAAATATGTATCCCTCCACCCCCTCCGGCTGACAAAAATATGTAGTGTTCAAAAGAAAACTTGGAGAATGGGAGAGGGGAAAAAATGCACAAAAAGCAATCACTACAGATACTGAGGTTTATTGCTGATTCCCCATTCTGCAAAGCTGTCAAACTGCCACAGTTCCAGGATGTGATTATCTCTAGAAGCCCCATGTCAGTCACTGTGCCAGCTCAGACGACATGACTAGAGACCTGTGTGTGGCAGCTTGCTGCTTACAGAACAGTTGGAGACAAAATCCATCCTTCCTGATCCCGAATTCATGGCAGGATCTGGAGTCTGACAGTACAACCTGCTGTCAGCTTCCAACAAAAGAACTGGAGGCATCCAGTGGGGATGCTGCTTTTCCTGAATTCAGTTCCCTCTGCAAGAAGCTGCTACTGAGAGGTTCTCACACAGAGCCACCAGCATGAGACAGAGCAGTTTTTCCTTTACCACATCAATCAGAAATAGTGTGTCTTGTGCTTTGAGACAAAGGCTCCTAACCATCCTGCCAACTATGCTGCTGTCTTACCAGCACTAATAATAGCATAGCTTTTCTGTCTTAATAATAAAGAAAAAGTCTTTTTCCTCGTGTTTGGTTGAACTTCTTCATTCTTGCTGCCACATTTTATTCATGACAGGATCTCCAGGCTGCAAGTCAGCTCTTTTCCAGCTGGTTAGGTCTGGTTCCTCTTTATGTGCCTGTCCTTTCAGTGTAAACAAGCAAAGCTTCTCCAACTCCACTGGTCACAAGGCTGTAAACAAAATATACCACAAATTTAGCATCATGCAAGTCCTTCTACTGGATACAGTACCAAGCAGCATAACATTAAGAGAAAGGTATTACTTTGTCTAAACACATTTCAACCTAGAGACAGTAACTCAGGTGACTGTTTTCATTGATTTAGCTAAGAAAAGGCTGAAACCAGGAATGTCTTATTTAACTGATCTCATCATAAACTACCCTTCCTATATTTTAGAACTGGTGGATTTTCACATGAAAATCCACAGACAGAAATCTAGATAGAGAAGGCTGCACCTAGATACAATAGCTGCACACCCATACACTAGCAAGAATCAGAAAGGAAGGCAAAAGAGTTTGAACTTCGTGAAGTTAATCATTTCCCCTTGCAATCCTGTCCTGAGAACTTGCCACTGATAAAGTCAGGAGGAGCTGTAAAACCAGGAAAGCATGGGTTTTGGGAGACTGAGGATATTGGGAGAAAAAATTTTGGTCTGGGGGGATTCCACTAGTGCAGAGAAGCCGGTATAAATTCCCATGTTTGCTTTTCTTTGTGAGGAATGCAGTGAAAGAACCGGCCCCTGCTGAAATGGCATATATGCCCAATCACTTCCTTCCTGTGCTGCTCACAGCACAGTGGTGGCACTAACACTTCTCTCCAAGACTCAGGCTAGAAGCAGGGCTCCAAATCAGGATGAAGGTTTTTACAAACAAAACCATTCACTGAAATAAACTATCAACCCACTCAATCTGTGTAATAGTTAATAATCCCCAAATCTCCTCTGATATCTATCACAGCTGACAGGAATATGGTAGGATACTGACTCTTCTCCCCTTTTGTAACAGCGAAAAGCTAAGTGTACTGACCTTTCGTCTTAGCTCCATGGTTTAGTTAGCTTATGAAACAGAAAAGCTCCTTAATGAACTTTATAAACAAAACGAACTTCTGTTATTTCAATTGTAAGAGGGCTCCCTTTTTTTCTTGGAAAAAAAGAAGGCATGTAAAGCTGAAGGCTCTCTGTTCTGTAATAGCATTACATTCGCTTAAATCTTAGCTTTGGTGAGCTGTTTTAAAAATCACATTAGTGCCCTTGTTCCCAAGAGGAACAAACATTGTATAACAACAGTACAACAGCCCTGGAAAGTAGGTGCTGCAGACAGTCTGTAGACAGTCCACCGTGGAGACAGAATATCTTTGGGTGTGGAATTACCAACAAGGAGCAAAGGGCTTCAAGGGCTGCAAGCTTTTTGAAAAGATCTAAACCATGTGAATCTGTTCGCCTGTAATCACTAACACCCTCAGAGCACTTTTCTCTGGAGAGGGTTAACCCTCTCCAGCTCCAATTATAAACATACTCTCTGCATTAATTCTTTTGGAAGCTAAGGTTGGATAATGTATTGTTTATCCTAAAGAAAATAACCCACTGCATATAGAAGACCTAAACTCAACAGAGCCTCAGAAATGTCTCCATTTTGTGTGTGTGTGTGTTATAGATGTGTTGTTTTCTACAACATTTTTAACAGAGACTTTAAAAAAAACCACCCTATCCCTGATGTACCATTCTAAGATCAGACTGGCAGTTCCATACAAAAGATAGTAAACTACATGGCCCTGTTTTGTAATGTATGCATCTACACTGTTCTTTAATATCTTCAGTCTTCCAGCAGAGAGGAAGAATCCCTTTCAGAAAGATCTGAAATCACATGCCCATGCAATCCAGATGACTAGGCCAATAGAAGCCATCATTATAACTTCAAGATGAAGCAGAGCAAAACACGTGGCTAAATGCCAACCCGTGATTTACCTTCAATTTACCATCTGGCAAATCCTTCAGCTTCTGTTTATTGCGGGATGACAGCTAACTGCATTTATCCATCACTCAGAAATTAACATATGATATTGTCCATGACAACACTGGAGCAATACTAAAAAACTCAGTGATTAATGATCTTGTGAGTGCTTTGCAGCTGCTGTCATCTAACAAACTATTTCCAGAGCTTTGCTGATAAGCCAAGGCACTGCTGATGCACAAGCCGAAACAGAACTCAAATAAATAAATAAATAAATGAAGTGGTTATCTTTTTGAATTATGACAATCGAAGTGCAAAAGGGGCCCAAGGGCTAAAGCAAAGTTTCTTTTAAAGATACAGATGTGCTCATCATTTATATTACAGTGCATATAGAGCATGAAGTACGTGTGCAACTATATGGGTCCATGTGCTCACATTAACAGATACATGTGTTTCTTTAGTATATGTGTCAGTGAATACATATATATATATATTATAAAAGCCTACCTCTAGCATGTACATGATAGACCTGCACAAACACATGCAAAACATGGTGAAAGCGGCAAGTTAATGGCCTAGACTAGGAATGTTATCAGTGTACTGATACTAGTTTAATCTCTTACACACACAGGCCACATAAATGTATTCCTAGAGCTAAAAAAAATACATTACATATTCTAGTACTTGAGATCACATGTGTCTAACGTACGTATGAGGATGCATATTCACACATATGTATAAGGGGCTAGTTTAAACTGAGATTCACTTTCCTTTAACTTCTTTATCACATCTGGAAAAAGAATACGCTAATTCCATTCTGTGCAGAGCTGAATCTTTTAGGATGGCAATCAAACTGCAAGAGGGGAAAAGGAAGCTTAAAGCTTTTAAAAAATAAGCAGATTTTTATTTCCAATAACAAATCCATCCTCACAGATCTATGCACAACCCTGCATTTTGTTGTTATTTGCATGGCAGAAGCATTTAGGAGCATCAGCTATAGGCTGAGATTCCCTTTCACTGGGTATTCTACACAGACCAAATCCATTTTCTTTGACAAAAGAAGTTTGCACCCTAATCTTACCACCTAAAAAATTCAGGATAGGTGATTCGTAACATGTGGCCATGCATTACCAAGTCCAGATACACCTTTGGAAAAAGTCGATTATCATTATTTTTGTACTGATTTCATTTCACACATTCACAATACCTGCTGTGTTAAGGAAACCTGAATGTACGCTATTAGTTAAAAAGATGCTGTCACCAACTCATGACTCCTGTATTTTATTTCCAACTCCACCACTAATGTATAGCATGACTCTGAATGGGTCATTTATTTGCCTATTGCATTCATTTGTCTAGCTGTAAAACATGCTGAGTGAATTGTGGTGAGGCCTAATGTCCAAATTGTCCATGTTCTCCCACAGAGGCACAAGAAACTCCCTTCGATTTGTATTACCACCACTGCACACCTGGTTCTCCTTACATGCAAAATATTACTGGCACTAACAGAACTTGACATTTAAAAAGCATTTCCACATGAAAAGTATTTCCACACACTGTGTGGAAATACATTTTTACTCTGAAGAAAAAAGCTCATGCAGGCACTTACCAAGAAACTGTTAGCACATTGGCAGTCATGACAAAGAAGAACGGTGATAAGCTAGCAGTGATAACCTGTTAAATTGAAAGGAAAAACAAAAAACACTTTGTGAACTTGTGATATGACAAATGAAAACTGAAATAGTTTTGCTGAAATTATATTTCTGGATGTGCATTCAAATTTTCTTTTCTTTTTTCCTTTGTTTTCTTACGCGTTAGAAGCATTACACATAGATAGTCAAGGAGAAACCCAATGAGTCTACACTAAACAGTCCTGCTCAACCTTCCTCCCTGTGTAAGTAGAGACTACATGTAGGTACCTCCTTTCTCCTCTGGCAAGTGGGAGGCAGGCCAGAAACTGCAGAAAAAGACCCAACAGACAACACAACTTCAATAGGTCTATATTACAAATCTCTCATTACACCAAGATGTCTTCGGTAGAGAAGCTAGGGGCAAATGACTTTCTATTCTCTAGTACTGATCCCAGAAACAACTAGATCCCAACACACAATGGTTTGTAACAGATCCCTGCCTTAGCAGCTATGGAGCTACCACATCTGCAGCCTGCGTGCAGTTTTGGACATCCCGTTGCCAGATGGACAATGTAAAATGGAAAGAGTTCAGAGAACAGTGACAAGAGTCATTAGAGGAGGGACTGATTTTCAGTCAACAGTTAGAATAAGCAATGCCTGTGGGAAAGGAAGACCCTGTAGTGATTTACAAATACTGAGGAATGAATGGAACTATTTAGGATAATACAAAATTGCCCAAGGAAGAAGATGAAATTAAGAAACAAAACATTTAAACAATTATCAGCTAAGATTTCCTAATCGTTGTTTGTCTAGTTGACTCCCAGGGGAGAAGCAGAAACCTCATTCCGTATTCTATTACTTGTTAAAACACTACTACATGTGCAGTAGGGAAGCAAATGCCATTTCAGAGTAGGTTGTCTGCACCAGAGCTTGCACTAACAGTTTGTTAGTCAATACCCACTAAATTTGTTATGGCTGCATTTTAAAAGGCAGGGTTCTGAACCTGCCTGGAGTGTTATCAGTGCAGGGTCACGAGCAGCAGTGGATGAAGAAGAGATGGTTGTATGCTCCACTCTAAAAGTTAGCTGGAAAGGGGACAATAACCTAAAGCTAGCAGTGAGACCAGGCAATGGCAGTAAACACCACACAGGAGCTGTGGTGCTTGACAGGGACTATATGATGAGTGCCTCCTTTGGCTTGTTTGGGGATGTTTTCTACTTTTGGGAGATTAAGGCATGCAGATTTCTTTTCTCTTCATAGACATTACCATAAATCGCACCCTGACTGTTCTCCATTTGCCTACAGCACAGGCACCTTGCAGAGGGAATGATGCAAGACATGGACTTGATCCAGGAAAGATACCATGAGATTGCAGATCCACTCCATTCCTGCACAGCAATCAAATTGCTGGTATCAATAGAACCACAGACACATAATCTGATACAAACTTCATCTGACTTAAGTATTTGCACACTGCCTACCACAGCAGTGTACTACATTGGCAATGCTATAAAGCTTGAAGCTAACAGAAAAAGTGAGCTCCCACTCCAGGGGAAAATCAAAGATACATGTTGGCTCTACTACTACAGCCTTGTACGTATATATACAAACAGGAATATGAATAAATAGATGCACCCAAAAGAGACTGTGAGAGGAGAAAGGCAAGTCACAAACTGAGAGTTATTCTTCAAAACTCAAGCAAATGATACTGCAACTGTCCACATTCAGGCCACACCTTGGCTCGTCTCATAGTCAACTGCAGCCGGAGAGAGCTGACACCCACTCCAAACAGTAGAATTTAATGATTCAGGAGCTGACTCTTTCATGCACTGTACCTAAATACAGCTCCCAGGCTGGATATCAATTAGGTCAAATGCAGTGCTCTAAAGTACATACACATCTTGTTCTTGCAGGCTGGATTCTCCCCTTACACACCCTGCAGCAGCTGCACTGACCTACAAGGAACTAGTTCGTGTTTACACCAATGTTAATGACTGTAGAAGTAACTGCGTTGAGCTTATCTTAGGCTAATGTTAATTTATTACATAAAAATATACAATAGTCATTACCGAGCATATAAACAGGAACTAATAAAGGATGGCACATGTGCTATCTATGGAGCATTCTTTTCTTTAAACTGTTCTGAAAGAAACTGATGTGCAGTATTTCAGAAGTGACACAAGTTGAAGTTATGTCACCCACTCCCTTGCAGAGTCTTGTTTATTAGAAACTTGAGAAGAGGCCAAGGGCAGAGAAACAGGCATTAAGAACCCTCCAGAACCAGGCCTTATCAAAAACAATACACCATTCTACTGCGATCATCCCAAACCTCTGCAAAAATGCAGGCTGCAGCCTTTTGGGCTATTACAGCAGAACACTGCTGTGTTTTTGAAAAATTATGTAAGAGGCTCTCAGTGCCAAAGAGAAACAAAATGCGGCTTGGAGGAGCACACGGAGTAAGTGTGTGTAAGGAAAAAAACCCACCACAAAACAAAACAAAAGAACATGGCTAAAATGCCCACCTTTAATTGTTTATCTAAATGAGGAATACATTTTAAAATGGACAGCACGTTTTCTAGGAAGCTGACCACATCATTTGTTCCAGAGGAAGAATCTAAAGTCTAGGGGCATAGGTCAGAAGGTAATTTTCCTTACTTTCCTGACAGTACATTTCAGCATTTTCTGAAGTGTTTTTTAAGTGCACGTTTCACTTTAAAACAAACCACCTACACAGATGTTCTGAATGTTCTTAAAAAAAAAAACAAAACAAAAATACAACATGCTAAATGCCATAATCTTTCTTTACTTCAAAGGTCACAGTTGTCCTCCTAGGCATTTAGATGCCTTAGGAAAAGGAATGAACTTTCAAGACAAAAGAAAGCAAGTAAAAGGACAAACTGAAGTTAATGATTTCCAAATATATTTTGGTGCTGAATCTGTAAAACTAGGACATGGAAAGGAAAATTTTAACTAGCTATAACCAGCATATTTTGTACAAAGGTTCCCAAGATCTTGAAATACAGTCATTAATTCTAGCAAAAGACACAGACTGGATGCTTGGAGCCCAACACTTTTAGAAACAGGAACAGCTCCATAGACTCTGCCTACCTACTTGCTTAAAGGAACTGTGACCAGGCAGTACTGCAAAAGCTATTTTTAAAGACATCCCTACTGTGAGCATTTCTACAAAACTGACGCAGCTTTCAGTGACCAGGAAAAAAATCCAAGTGTAGCACCATTTAACAAAACTTCTTCATGCGAGCTCAAATGATTCCTGAGATACCATTTCAAACCCTTCATTGCATGAAAAAAACAAAGGGCAGAAATATTGTTTCCTAAAATAAATCACTCTGAATATAATGCATCACTCCACTGGACAGTGCAAACAAGACCCATTTAAAGGAACACTTTATTAACACCTATTTGCCTCAACTATTCCTATAGTTCAGATCACTGAGTTATTTACAAATAATTTTATAAACAAAAATCGTGGCATTTCAGACTGTGCTTATTATCTCAGTCAAATAGTTCTAGCTCTTTACAATGTGTATCAGCATCAAAGGAAATAAGTGCATCCTTGTGATGGATACTTATCTGGGACAAAGTCTGTGCATAAGAGGAGAGTGGGCTCATCTCCTCCACCCCTAGAGGACACAACTTGTGGAAGTTCTTCAGTCTGGCACAACTTACTCTAGATGAAACGGCTCTATGGTAATGCAGATAGCCTGCCTGAGCTTGGAGCTTCACCAGGAAGGAGAACAAAGATTAGTGCAGCATCACTTCAACCACAGGGAAAACGCTGCAGAACAGCCAGAACAAAGATTGGGCCTGAATAGTTAGATAATGAAATAGAACAGATGGGACTTCTTTACATAAATAGTCTAGTTCAGGGAGTGAACAAGAGCCAGGAGAGAAAACAGAGGGCAAACCAGCCCTGTGGCTGGATTGTGTCACAGAGAAGAGTCTTAAAACAGCAGCCCTTTTACAAGTTTGTTTCAGAAGTGGGGTTGGATCCACCTAGAAAGGGTGGGACAGCAGAGAAACAGACTCATTCATCACCTTACAACCTGGTCCTTAAGAGGGAAACAAAGATTGTGAGATTCCTGCTCCAGTTTCCAAATAGGAGTTACAAACCAACATATTTGAAGGAGATTCAGTGATAGGAAAGACACGCTGAAACACTGAAACAGATGAGGCTGAACTCACTGTGCCTCATGACCACAGACATTTGAAAGCCCTAGGGTTTGTGCATCAGAGAATTCATGACCACCAAAGATAACTAACCAGAGGTGAAAACTTCCGGCATTTCCATCATCTGGGAACCAAAGATGGGCCTGGATGCCATACAACATCCTGAGCACTACTTACATTGTCATTTACATTTAACAAACTGCTCTGAAGGACAACACAGTGCCCTACTTTAGTATACAAAGAGAAGACGGTGTCAATTCCACACGTCCAGAGTTTGTTTCTCTACAGGCTGAATTGTCAGCAACAAGAAAAAAAAAAAAGCCATTGTTGAAGGGCTGGGTAACAGACTGAGATTCATAAAGTAGAAATATCCTAATGCGGGGAAGAACTTGTTGGACAGTAGGGACAAATCCAGCATATAAAATCACCCTTGTACAGGCAAATAGGAGGCATAGGAAAGAATGTGTTCTCATGCATCTGCATTTGTAAATCTGCTTTAGTGACTTGTGAGTGGAGGAAGGCACTATTACCACTAGCTTTAAAGAGCTCCCAAAGAACTGTGACAGACAGATCACTACACAGCTCCTGACATGAATGATCTCCTTTCTCCTAATCACATTATGGTCAGACAAGAAAAAAACATACAGAAGAGAAAGCAAAATTTGTTTCATAAAAGTTGTAGGGTTTTCTAAATAGAACAAAAAAATAGAAAATAATTTAGTTTTATAGATAAACAAAAAAAAATAAAGACTGTTTGGAGAATTCTTTGCGAATGACTTTAAGAACAGGCAACATCACTGCTGAGCCAGCTCCCCTGTTAGATCCATTTCTTTGCCACATAACATGAGAAAA